TTCCGATCGTTGTTAGATGCTACGCGTGTAACCCCCTCCGGTCCGTCGAGGAACGAGAACGCGTTCCCCAGTGAGAGAGGCTGCCCCCGTTGAATCCCCCGTATCTCGAGCGATCTTTGCACGAACATCGATCCCATCGCGTACGGGGATAATAAAAAGAGCCGGATGGTAAATGGAAAATATCTTTCGCGAGCGATTCTATACACGGTTGCCGGGAGAATCGTTTAGTTGGATAAAAGGAAGAGAGTAAAAAGGGGGGTGGAGATTGAACGAGCAGCCCTCTCACGAAACGCGCGCGCAAACGAGATTTGTCAACGCGTGTGTGCCTACCATCGTGTCTCGCGGCTGTCTTCCTTCGTCCCGTTCGTCCAACCTTTATTATTATTAGTTTTCTTAATATATCACAATGTGGTCGGTTGTCTCCATGCTCGCGCCGTAAAACACGTCTATCTATTTACCATTTCTCTCGCGATTTTCTTCAACTTTTACGTACACATGTATTTAATTATTGTTGTCTCATCCCTGTATTGTCGATTCCTTACGTCGTTTAATCCCTCGATTTTTTCCTCGTTGCATGAAGGCGATGTCGGTAGTGATAGAGAAATAAAGTTGGGCTTATACAATATATATATAATATATCGTTAATATACGCTTAAAATCCGCCGACGCACGATAATTACGCGTTACCTTTCTTGTATTTATATATCTATATTTATATATATATATATTTTTTTTTATTTCTTTCTTCCCCCGGATATATCGCACATGTATATACGCGTGTGTGTATAGTACGTATATAAATTAAAGATTCGTTTACGGGGCGCTACAACGCTGCGATAATAAATAATACGTGAAAAGATGCGCGCACGCGCCAGTCGCGCGAAACGCACGCGCGTACACGCGTCGCTCTGCACGTATTACAGCACAGTCGGGATACTCGATTATTTATTCGACGTCAGTCTTGTGTGAGGCGGGATCGAAGCTCGCTAACGTTCTCCGTTTCCCACAAATCTTTTGTCTCCCCTTCGCCTGTTCTTTCCCGGTCCTACACCGTTACCGTTTTTCCCTCCGTATCACTCGCGTCTTCGTTTCCTCCTCCTCTTGGACCGCGAGGCTGTCCTCCTCGCGACCGAGGTAAAAATCCTCGGTGAATCGCGGCCGAATGGCACACGTTCGGGGCAACGATCGAGGACGATTAATTATCAGTCGCGAGGAAAACTCGCGCCGCGGAATAAATAGCTGACCGCGAAAAAGGAGAAAGAAAAGGGCGAACCGTTGCCACTTCTGTTTCTTCTTCTTCCTCCACCACCTACACAGCTCCCGCTCTTACGTTTACCTAGCCGCGGGATCGATAGCGAGCTCGATCCGGTTGCACATGCGCGCCGAACAGAAACCATTAAACACGCGACTCCTTCTGGAAATCCGCTCGGTCGCGTCGCGCCGCCGTTTCGTGCCGACGTTCCGCGTCGCGCAGACCTCGCGGCACAGAGACCTCGGGATATAACCTCGCGTCACGGCGGCTCCCTTATCGCGGCCGCTGTTTTTCCGCGCGGAAACCCGCCCTCGCGAATTACAATTCCTTGGCGGAACAGCCGCCCTAACGAAGCCGCCGGCGCTCGCGCTTTTTACCAGCGCGGAAGAAATGTGGCAGTGAGCGGAAAAACGTTCGGAACACGCGAGGCTGTATCAACGAAAAATATGACTCTTTTTACCCCTTTTTCGCCCTCGCGTTTCTTTCTTCCCCCCTTTTTGCCTCTTTCTTGCACCTCTTCTCGTCTAGCCAGAACTTCTCAACCTTGTAACTCAGCCGGAGTTTGGAATTTAAGAGGGAGAGGGTCGCGGGCTAACTTTTTCGCGCGTGTTCCGTGTGGCAGAGGCAGAGGCTTCCGGAGAGCAAGGTCTCGCGAACGTTTGCTCGGGCAAAGTTCGAGCGAGTGCGACGGAAGCGCGCTTCTTCGATCCGCGAAATCGAAGCCTCGTCGTTCTAGAATAATTTATTAAAAAACCCGGCGAGAGTCGGTGGCGTCGCGGAAGAACGCTCACCGTGGAGCAAACCCGTTGTTGGTTCGTGGTCGTGCACGCACACACCCTGTTACTCGGTAAAACTGGCAGAAAATAGAGATCGCGAAGACGCGCTGGTGACGATCGACGAGTCGATTTCAGGGATCGGCGAGTCCTCCGTCGCGCGAGCGGATCTCCAGAGAAGTGTCTCGCGGCAGCGCGCTGCCCTTAAACTGATATGCCAATTGTAGTTACAACTCCGGTTACGCGTTTCACCTACCTGCCGTTGCAAGTAGGTTAAGTCCTCTTAAGCGCGGCACTCGAGGTATATCGCCTACTCTACTACGGTACGCTCGGAAAGTGCGCGAATGGCAGTGCTCGTCGAGAAAGATTTCGATGGGATCGGGACCGCGGTGGAGAGGCTGCGTGAAGCATAGGCGATTTCAACCGTTCCCGATCCTCCTTAATTGGACCGCTCGAGATGCTCGCGGGAACGAGCGAGTTCCGCGCGCGAACAAAGATTCGTCTGGCCTCGTTCGTTGCGGTCCACTCGATCCTCCCTCGTGTCGTCTCCTCTTCGTCTCGTCCACTTCCGCTTCGGGCCTTCAGCATCCGTTTCCTCTCGTTCGCGATCGAATTTTCTCGAGCGCGTGGAATTTTCGGCAACGTGGTCCGCGCGATTAGGAGAATAACAGCGCGGCGTGGAAGATCGGAAGAATGGTGCGTCCTTACGCGTATCTGTGCAACGAGTGTTCGCGGCGCTTGCTTCCTCTGCGCTCGCGCTCGCAAACTGGTTCCGGGCTCGGCGGATTCGAGTACGTGAGATTACTGGAGCCTCGTGGGGGCGGCGCGCTCATCGGGGGCGGGGGTGGGGGGAAAAAGCTCTGCAAGCACGCCTAATGCAAGAACAGAAAAGAGGAAAATTAAACGCGCTCTCTCTCTGAGTGCGTCGATGTCGCGGGATTCGCGTGCATGCTGAGTCATACGAGCTGTGAACAATCGTTGAGAATAAAATTCAGAGTGTTTGTTCGGGTAATTCGAAAATATCGCGTCGGACCTCTGTGAATTTTTATCATTTCCAGCGTACACCCGAGAAATGTTGTTTCAAACGAGCACCCAATACGATTACCGCGATATCATCGACGGAGGATCTACTTTAACCGCGAAACAGGTAAATACCGTTCCCCAGTCGGTGGGAAGGGAAGGTACACGAGAAGAGAGGCAGGTTTAGACGAGAAACGCTTATGAAAGAACGAGGATATTTTCCCGGAACGCGGCCGTAAGTCGAGGAAAAGCAGCAGCTTTGAAGCGCTTTTTGTTTCGAGTAGATATCTCGACTCGTTCTCGAGATAGGGCACTCGAAAGTTTGCTCCGTACGAGATGCATCGGAATACGAACGACGGGGAGATCCTTGGAATAGGCGCGACCTACTTTTCCTCTCGGAAACGCGTGTACAGAGTAAATTGCCGGACAAAAAGTAACGACACAGCGCGTGTCACTGACCACCGCACAGGTATCGAGCGAGAGATAGGTGAAGCAAGAGCGGCGCGAGAGAGAAATCCAATTGCGCGAGTGAGACGCGAACGGTAAACTGTCGAAAATTACAGTGCTCTTTAAACGGGGATATCTCGGCAACGAAACAGCGTATCGAGATGAAACAAACGGCATTTCAAAGGGTATGATTTCGCGCTTCGGATGGTACTAGTTGCGATACTCTGTTCGCGTTACATAATGGCCTATTGTTCGCGAAAGAAGTGATGTTCGACGTTATTGTTTTAAACCATTGTTACTTCCCCGAAACGATCACCGCTATCGATAATAAACGAAAGGTAGATTCCGAAGATATCTACGCGGGTGTGGAATGTTTAATGCGCGAAGGTTAAACAGGGCCGCGGTCGGATACTCACCTTCGCGCTGCCCCTTGATGAAGATTTCGAGAAGACGCTGTCCTGATCGCTGCTTACGCTAGGCACAGGCATTGGTACCGCGTAGTCGTAGGTGGCATCTGTAATCAGTCAAATCGTTACTCGAATTTTTTTTACGCTCGAAAATTCCAATATTCACAAATTTATTTATTTAATTAATAATAATTTACGAGTAGCAGGACCCATTAGCGTATGAACAAAAAGTTTAAAGATACATCAGTTTGTTAGAGAGAGAAAGAATATAGGTTATGTATGGTACAAATGCCAATTATCCAGATTATCGTCGTGTTTGAAGTATAATTATACCATATTCCTATGAATACTACAGTAGATAGATGAGATAACGCTATATACCACGAATACGGTACCTATCATCCAACTCCAAGTATTTGCATACGTTACAGCAACATTGACAACAATTATCAGGAACTAACGTCTCTCCAGAACGATTATCGAACCCCGTTAAAAATAATAACGAATATTCTGAAGCTCGGTACGAAATGATCCTGTAACCCCGTAGAATACGCGATTCCCGAGACCCAGAAGCTTGCCAACAAGTGTCAAGACGACACGGTACATCGATCGCGCTTACCAGACTGCTCAACGTTGTCGTGAAGGTCCTTGTTGTCTATAACAACGGTGCTATATCCGTAATAAGCGGCATGTGGCGGTTCCCTGTACTTGTTCTCGTGGAAGGGTTCCTGATACTCGTCCAGTCTGACATCACCCAGCAGACGATCGTTGAGATCGCGTGGCAGCGTGGTGAGCTTGGTGCCGGCGTACCGATCGTCTAGTTCCTCCACCCTGTACGTCATCAGCGACGGATCCTTCTCCGTGGTTCCATACGCGGATTCCGGCGACAGGTGTTGATGATTGCCCGACGGGATCGCGCTCTTCGTGCCCAGTGGGCTGGAGAAGTTCTTCCGTTGCCTGTGTCTCGTGACGATGAGGAACATGGCGACGGCCAGCAGGAGAATCACCGCGGTTAGGACGCCGATGATCACGGCCATGTAGGTCGGATCGTCCTGTTTCACCACCGGGACTTCCGCCTGCAGAGGATTGTCACGGGCAGAGATTCGATCTCTCACTCTCGGGGCTTCGGTCGTGGGCGGTGATTCAGGGGTGAAATTTCCGTGGGCGATATCTGTAACACAGAGAACAGAGCCGGATCAATGAGACTCTTCCAACTTATAGGACGATTTTCCAGTGACGAATTCGAGTAGAGCAAGCGGTAATTACCAGAGTCGAAAGTGATCTCGTTGATCATGATCCACCGCGAGGCGAAGCTGAACTTCAGCTTCACGAACTTGCCGATCCGATTATGTAGCTTGATCGAGATGTTCCGCGATTGCTCGAAGATCCTGTCCTCCATGTACGAGTACACTATCGGGTCGCCAGTATAGTATCTGCCTCCGACGCTGAACATGATGCTGACCTCGGAGAACACCTGATGCGACATAAAAACGCCTTTGTTCCTCTCGGTTCTCGTATAAACGATAAGATCTCGAAGACGAGATTCGTAAAAATGATCTCGGCAGCGTGGAGTCAGCGAACGATTTCTATCGGGTAATAAACTTTTCGTAACAGGAGCCACGAAAACTTATTTCATATTTCACCGAAAGTATCCCGTTAGAGTGGCGTGGCACAACAGGCACAGCTCGCGAAGAACGTTAGCCGGAAAGAATATATAAAACCGGCCGCGGCAAAGGTTGTTCCATAGGGGAAAATGGCGCGGCTCATTGTGTACGCTAAAGATGATGTACCGGCTAATATTCAACATTAATTATACGTATAAATCAGCATCTTGAGGCGAGCAACTTCTCGAGAAGGCTGGCTGCGCAGCGTTCCGGCACGCGGCTGGCTGGATATTAATATATCCCGCGATTCCTCTTCCACAAATACACACCGGGCTATTTATTACGGACATAACGAGGAACTTTATAGAAGCAACACTCGGTTGACATCGACGACTTCGATAATTGCGAGCCTGCCGTGGCAGCGTTCCCCGGCAACGGGAGACGCGTGGAATGCTAATTCCGCTACGGGAAAGCGTAAGATAGTTGCGCGAGGAGAATGCCAGCCGGAAACTAAGAGCAGGAAAGCCGAGGCAGAGAGGATCGCGCGGGAAAGAGGCAGCCAACGCGAAAGAGTGAAGTACCCGGATAGACAGGGAGTGGAAGAAGAACAGGGCGAAGAGCGAGAGAACAGCGTGAGAGGCTTGGCAATGGAGATTACAAAGCTGAGATTATCTAACTCCCTTAGCTCCCGAAGACGAACGCAACGACGATGCGTATGGATTTTCAAGGGAGCACCGTTCAAGCGTGCCTTGCTAGCTACTGCTGCTTCCCAGTCGGCGATGACGACGAAGAGGAAGACGAAGACGACGCCGGGAGTATGAGGAAAGCCGAAGAAGACGAACGTGGCGGCCACGAAACCGTGCACAACCACCACGAAGGCTGGAGAGTATGGTATTCGAGGAAGACGGGAGAAAGAGAGAGACATGGAGCGCGAAACTGGCGATGCTTTGAAGTGCTGTCTTTCAGAAGACGTGTCCTATCCGCGCGAGCGGGCGCTTGTTAATAGAAGGGGACGTTTAGGGGCGGTTGCTACCATCTCTCACCCCATACTCGCCCTCATACCTCGAGCCATAGACTGCCGACTTGCCAGACTGTCGGTATTGTATTTGAATACGTGGCGTATCTGCTCTCCGGCTCGTTGCTCGCTAGCATTGTGCGTACGAGAGAGAAAGAACAGCAACCACCCACCGACTCCTCCGCCCTCGCTACACCCCGTTGCCGTGCTAGACCGTTTCTCTTGCTTCTCGACGGTTCCCTTCCCCTTCGTCTTTCACCAAGCATCCTTCCTTCTCCGAGAAGAAGCAGCTTCCCCATCGAGCCGATGCAGCGCCGTTTCTGCTGCCCTTGCCTTCGCCACCTCTCGTTTTCCACCTCTCCGCAACTCCATCTTGCCCGGTCGCGAGCGCACAATCGAGCCTCGAGCCGGTTAATGAGGCGCTCCATTCAAATAAATCTTGATACCGGTCAGAGGAGTGTTTCGAGGCCTATTCTGCCGAGGCCCGCGCATCGGGCGACGTCGCCCCGGAAAAACTTCCATTTTCCGTCGTTCGCCATTCGCTCCTCGAGATCCCTGCTTCGCCGCCAGTCATTGTCGCGTCTATCGTCGATGCGACGATGACGAAAAGAGCACGGGGATTAGGCTTCTTCGGCATCCCCGTCGCGTTTAGATAGTCGAGAGTTTGGATCTCGAATCGACTTAAACGACGAATTATGCGTACCTAGATAGGCCAGTTTGGACGCGTGGTTGCTTCGCGACGAAGTACAGTGGAGGGAAAAAAAGGGGACGAGAGGAGAGAGCTCCATCGTCCCTTCTGTCTTGCTTGTTTGTTGTCTCGACGCGCCCCTCGGCTGCTCGATTATGGAGCCGAGGTCCGACCAGGGTAATGAGGGGCTCCATTGAAATAAATCTTGATACCGGGACGGGGCCATTATATAGAAATTCGTGGCCGGAAGCACGCGGGGCCGGAAAATTTTCGCAGAAACGGCCGCCGCAGCCGGCGTCGAAACGGCACCAACACCGACGCGGAACGCCATCACCGTCACGCTAGCAGAAATTCAGTTGCGGCCACCGCCGTTCTTGCCACCCTGTGTAAAATCGCGCGCCTCCGAGCTGCGGCTCGTTTCCTCTTTCTCCTTTCATCCGCTCCAGCTGAAGCCAGGGGCCAACCGTTGTTGCGCCTCGTTACCCATCCTACGTCCGACCTTGACTTCAACGCGAAAACTGGATTTCATGGCGTACGCCATCGTCTTCCCTATCTTTTTCCCTCGAGCTCTTTCTCCTCCAGGGCGCGGTTTAAAGGCTGGCGTTAGATCTTCGCGCGTATTTCGCCGCGATTGTCTGCCTCGCCTTCTCTTTTCGCCCTTTTCCCTCCTCTTCCCGCCCCTCTCGTCCGTTCCATCTAGCACGTTCTTTCCCTCATCCTGCTCCGCGTCTAGTTTTCATCGCCATTTTTTTTTCTCACCCCTTCTGTATCGTGGTTCTGCTCGCGTTGGCGAGTCACCGCCGCGGGCCCTTCCAATTTCCTCCCTGTCGTCCTCGCATCTATCCACCCTCTCTTCCTCTTTTTTTCACGCGTTTTCGCGGATATTCGGTGAACGATCATAGAGGAAATTTGAAAATAACGCGGCCGGGCTTGCGTTCAAAGAGATCGCCGGTAAAGGGATTACGGTGGAAATTCCATCGTCGAACGGGAGGAGTATCGATAACGGGAACGAATCAAAATATTAAAATTTAAAGTAGACGGATCGAGGCGAGTTTCCTCTTTTCTCTTCTCTTTATTTCCCTCTCTCTCTCTCTCTCTCTCTCTCTCTGGTGCACATTTTTTCCCTCCCTTTTTCGTCTCGTTTCCTTTCCGCTGGAAAATCGTGGAACGAATTTATTACACGTTGCTTGACGAAATAACGAGGACGAGGAATATTACTGGATGGAAGCGCTACCGGTACGAGCTAACAGACGACGAGGAGCATGACTCTGGGCTCTGCATGTTGCGGAACGTAAATACGTGACTGTTCTACGGGCCAAAAATCTGCCCGAGGGTTCGTTCGTGGGGATACGGAGATCACGACCCGCAAACGTTGGGGAAGGCTCTGGTTTCTCTTACCCGGTTTCCCTGCTGCCTCTTCCTTTTGCTCTGCCATCGAAATCACGACGCCGAGATCAGCCACGATTGCATCCGTTACCCCCCAGAAACTTCTTACAACTCGGTCAATAATCGTTCAATTAACGCGGCAACCTGTCTCTCCTTATTCTCTTTCACCGCGTATACGTGTTTCGTTAATTACAACCAGCATACTTTCCAGCGAACGCTTTTACTCGAATTTCAACCTTCGATCCCTCGTGCTAGCTATCCCGGCTGACATCTAAATTACACCGTGTCTAGCTAGGAATTCAGAAATTCCCTTCGATTCTGGGAAGGGTACAGCTTGCACGTATACAAGAATACGGCTATCGTATAATTTTGATACGCGTCTTAACTGCCAAGTCAGGTCTGCCATGAAACGATATTAAACGAAATAACTCTTTGCCAGTGTGTTCGCGAATAGTAAGTCACGAACATTGCAATTCGCTTGTCCGGCTGACTATGTTGCATTAAGATGAGTACAAAAAGAGGCTTAAAGAATTAAAGAGTCTTAAAATCATTCTCCATGAATATCGTTTCATATCCTTCGACTATATATCTTCTCATCAGTGTCACGAGACTTACCTGTACATCCTTGGTGAATTGATTATTGCAAAAAATATGGACGGCGGAGAACTCTCTGACGTGGTCGAACTCGAACTTGATCTCCAACGGATGCCCAGACCTGGTGTCGTTCCTCCAGCCCACCCATCCACGGGCCCTGTCGTACTCCTGGTAACCCATCTTGAAGTTATCCGGCCCGACCTTGCCGTCCGTCAACTGACCCAGGCCACGCAGGAGCTGGCCGTCCCAGTAGCCGTCGTAAGTGGCGTCGAAGAACTCCCAGTTGCCACGTTTGTCGCCCTGTGGCATCGAGTAGGACACGATGCCGTCGTTCCACGGACAACCGTACAGCTCCACCCGCATGCAAACTGTGCGACGATGGTAGCTGTACGGCAAGAAGCGAACTTTGCTCGCCCACATCGGTGGCTCCAGCTCGTGCTTCGACTCCAGATAGGTGTTTGTGTTCCCTTTGATCACCTGTGACAAGCGATTCCACGATAAGTTTCTTCGTTTCCTACTTATTCGAACGTTGAGCTACTCGTTCGCCGAATTTACTGGTTTGAGATCGGATGTATATCGGATTGCAGGCGCAGACGCGATTTGCCTACGAAAATTTTTCCATGGTATTCCAACGAGCGAGGGGAAATAGTAAAAACAGCGGTGTTCGATTCGTCGCGCGAAGGTATTAATTTTAAATCCACGATAGGAGCTTGTCAAGTCCGTTTAGCCTTCAACCTCTGTCACGAGGAACGGTAATTAAAGGAAGCCAGATCCCGGCCGTCAAAATTCTCGGCCGCTTAATTACGCGTGTCTTTCAGCCGCTGCTAACTCGGATACGTTTCGTATCGGAAAGGAAGATCGTTATTAACACCTGACGTAAACTCGCTCGGGGGGATATCCTCTGAATAATTCATTGGCCGAGTAAAACCGTACGGAATCCAACGGATAAGCCAGTGGAATATACGATTCGGCTCTCAGGGCGTATCATTAAAATACCATAAACTATCGGCGATCGTATCGATAATGAAGATTCAAATAGTATGCGTATACACCTGTCGGGATCACGACCGCGATGAACCACGGTCACGTAAGCAGGCATACGTGAGAATCCCGCAGCCGTGGAGAGTCGAGTGCCGCTGTCAAGCCCGTAAGTGGAAAATAAGAGGTCCTTTGTTTCGAAGGGACGAACCCTCGACGATGCTGCACGAGAAATTCTCGATCCTCGGCCGCGATACAAGCCGCTTCTGGCCTTCGTGCTCGCGCTCCACCGGTCGAATAGAACGCGCGTTGTTCCATCCGAGAACGCGTGAAACGAGAAATCGCGTCGACTAGGAACGCCCACGACATTTCTGCCGTCGTTCCTTCCAGTATTTCGCTGCTTTTCAGAAGAATTCCAAGGCTGAGGAGTTCCCGAGGTATCGTTAGCCGGGTTATTAGCCGTGGAACCTAAAGTGGCGGAGGAATTCGAGGGCAGCTCGGGACTTTATTTAGATTTCGCCTGTGCTAAAGATAAATTCCAATATTCCCTGAAGGAATCGTCGCTCTATGAAGCAGAAGCGAACGTTTCGATACGCGTGTCCGAGCTGATTGGAGAGAAAAGGATGAATACGTATCGGTGTTCCGTGGTCTCTTTGGTTGGTACCTTTTCCATTAGGGCGTCTTCCTTTGATTCCTTTCATTGACCCAATTCGCCCAGATCGAAGGAATCTTACTTTCAGATTAGCCGATCCACGATTCAAGCTACCTTACGAGTCCCTCTATCTTCTACGGTTTTATCTTAATTCGTACTAGGAATTGCGCCTTTGCTCGGCAGAATTGAACCTAACGCTCGACCTACCACGACCGGCCAAATGACCGATGGAGGAAAAGAATAAAGAAGTAGAATTTTAAAAAATGGATTAATTAATTACACGTATAGTAGAAGAAAAATCAAAGAGATCAAAGACTCGGCTCAAAGACTCATTTTTTCGTTACAGGAAGATAGTAATTCGAAGACTGTCTACCATAAAGTCGAGGATATTTTTAAGACGGTAAATAAGAAATCGTATGCAAATTAAGACGTACAACTATTTTACTTCGATATTCCACGCATCGTTGGGTAATTGTAAATTTGATATATTAATTAACATCCATCTTTAGAATTTGATTAAATGGCGATTGAATGGTGCCTCTGAAGTTCAAAGGGTTAATGCATAATTGTAAATCAAAAGCTTCAAAATGGTCATTTGAACTGTGGTAAATCCACTGTTAATAAATTTTAATCCTCTACCATCTTGTGGTTTAGGTTATTTTAGGTTTAGGTTAGGTTAGGTTATTTTATTTCACAATAAATCCAAATTTTACTTCAGCAAACTTCTTCTACACGATCATTGCCGTTTCATGCCATTTCACATTTCGTAGATAGATACTCGCACGCAGGGAATAAGTCTTCGGATGTTACCAAGAGGTAATGTCAAATTCACTAGAAATTTACAACGTCCTACTTTAGCTAACATCGTTACCTTTTCTCTAAAACAAGTAGAGATTGGCAAATTTTTCAGGTCTCAGCGACAATAGGGTAAACTCGACAGAGTTGGTTACAGTTTCGGCGAAGATTTGGAGGTGTGGAGATTTGGCTGCAACGAGTATGCAATTGCCGTTCGTAGCCACGATGGTGGGAAAGGAAACACGATTAAAAGATGATCGCGGACCACGCGGACCGGCACGTTCTGCGGCGTGGCGGTCCAGTAATTGGGAGAGACCGGTGGCTGACACCGTTTTATTCGCGCTCGTTATTCCCTCCGCGACTTTCTAGCTGATGTTTGGCGCATCGAAACGAAATACAATGAGCCGACACGCGTGAAATTCCGGCTGGCGTCGCGCCGTGGACAACGTTTCGTTTCGACTTCGTTACAGCGGCTTAATGAGCGCGCCGTGCTCGTTAAGGGGACGAAATATGCGCCCGTAAACGGAACGCTTCTGAAAGAAGTCTGATTCGACGCCACCGAAACAAAATACGAAAAAGAGCAGCAGATCGTCGACGCTCGTGTACGTTTGAAATTTTGGTAACGGGACGGTTCCGTTCCACGTCTCGTTGAAAGAGGTGCAACTTGCAACACTTTCACGGTGTTTGTCCGTTTGCAAATTCGAATAAAGTAAAGTTAAACGACTGTGTACACGTTTCGGGCCGATTACTGTAGAGGGACCTTGTCTAAGTGGATACAAAGATACTCGGTCTTAGGAGGAGAGTGCAAGTCCTTCGGGTCATTGATTTACAAAGAGAGTGCAAGTCCTTGGGGTCGTAGATTTCGTTGAAACTTTGCAGGTTTGTAGATTTAGTCGTCCAGTTAAAGAAAATGTATCATTACAAGGGTAACTACTCGATAGTTTTCGAGATATCTATGATTAGAGTCTTATTATTGCCTTAATTACAGATTTATGTCGAATATTTATCAAGTACGGTTGTGGCCTAATGGCGATATCTGAAAATTCCCACGTTGGTGGCAATTTTCAAATGTTGCCATTAATCAATGTCACTTCGTAGCTATCGATAACTATTCAGAAGAAATCTCTAGTTAAGAATAATAATAAAGCTTTAATCATGAATATCTAAAAAATTATTGAGTAGTTGCTCTTATAATGGTACATTTTCTTGAACAGGATAACTAAATCTACAAATCTGCAAAGTTTCAACTAAATCAATCTCCCGAAGAACTTGCACTCTCCTTGTTAGATAACAAAAGTGCAGAAATATTTTATTTAATAAACACCAATATTTGGAAATCGCTGATTTTTAGGTTACGAAAATATTCGGACGAATTAAGATTATGAAATTAAAATAATTATTTTTAAATGAGGATTAATATCGAGTAGTTGTTCTTATAATGGTACATTTTCTTGAACAGGATAACTAAATCTACAAACCTAAAAAGTTTCAACTAAATCAATGACCCAAAGAACTTACATTCTCCTTGTTAGTATAATCGTGTCGTTGTTTCATACGCGCCGATAATTAGGAGACAAGGAAGAAATAATTTTATGGATAATTCTCCTCATATTCATTCGAGTAGACTAGACTAGGATAAAATTATTTTCAGAAAGGTAATGAAAATTCAGAATGCGAAACTTTTAAAATTAGCAGCGCTATTTGTCGTTTTACGTAAAGTACTTGGCAGTTCCATTTTTAGCGTGGGCTTCAAAATTTAGGTTAAGATTATATTTATCGTAGCATTTCGAAGAAAATTTCCGAAGAAAGAGGAAACACAGGGAACCAGTACCACGAGCAGCATAGGTAAAGATTCATTTCCATATGACAACACGTGGAAACGTTTCTTAAAAGCATATTTGAAGTACGTCATTTAAAGAGCAGAGACGTAAATGATCCGAGACTATCGCGAAGTAGGTATCGTAAAAGTTACATAGAGATACTCCACGTGGAATACACTCTTTGGGCCCTGTGTCACAATTAATTACAAAATACTCGAGTTTGTATATCGCGTTACGATTCCACGAAGAACTTACGACGTAGGCGTAACTAGTAACGACAGATAAGACAGTCGACTGGATGTTTATCGACAAACTTCTCCAGTCCCAGTTGGAAAACAAAAATACTCGGAGCATCTGGTAGCAGCGAAAATACAGCTGACGCGAGAGTCGAAAGGACGAGCCAGCTCGTCAAACGATCCGATAACGCGGATAAATCCCCATCGAACGCGGAGAAAGGGGTCTCTTGCTGGCTTTTAATCGACTCTGACGATCCGCGAAAGGGGTGCCACAAATTTTCAGCTTATTCCGAGAAAAGCCGAGACGGCTGCGGTCGTGTGATCGTGGCCGCGGGGACGAAAGGCGCGAGGGCGAAAATACGACGGCATTTACGAGCCGTCGACTCGTCCTCCAAGAAAAATAAGTAATCTCGATATTTATCTGCGCGCCCACGCGCGTTCCGCCGCGGAACGCCTCGCGTCTACAGTCAAAGACTTTTCCGTTCCCCCCTCTCCGAGAGAAGAAGGGGACAAAGGGGAGGAAAGGGAGCGAGATCGCTTTGGTTCCACGTGCGTTTGGCATTTTTCGTTTGGCATTTTTTGGTCGCGGACAAATTCCAGGCTCGAAGAAGCCTAGCAGGGCGTGGCGCGCCACCAACGCCCATCTTATGTTAATGTTTCCGCGCCTTTGGTCCCGAATCCTGAGCGGTGGCCCGCCACCGAACAGAAGCCGCGTTGATGGTCCCGTGTCGTCGGGGAAGATCGTGACGGATAAGCTGTCTGACGGTTTAATTAGACGGATATACTCGACGGGTGGTCCCAAGTGGAACCCACGAATTTTCCACGCATGTACTCGCGAACCGGGTCCAACGACCTTTCTTCGAGAATCGCCTGATGAGACAGAATCTCACTCTTCGGTGCAATTTCTCTGCCAAATTTTGTCCATGTAGCTATTGTGCGTTCGACATAAGAAGATGCGTGTATATTCTTACGATTGATTAACTCAACTGACACTCC